AGCCCCGGCGCGGCGGCGCTGCGCCTGCGTGGTCCGCGTCTTGGCGGGGCTTTCCGAGCCCGGTCGCGGGTCTTCTCTTACCGTCGGTCCTTGTTCGTTGGCGCCCAGCAAGCTACACAAGCAAGGACTGGCCCAGCCAAGTAGTGTCCCAAACTGAGTGACACTTCACTTTCACCCCGCCGGGAACCGGCCAGGCCCTCCCCCGTCCCTCCGTGCTGCCCCCTGGCGGCCAGGAGGATTAAGCCGTGTCTGCCGCGAGCGCTCTCCGACGTCGGTGACCCGCATTGCAGTCCGCTCCCCACCGGCTGCCACCCGCTGCCCTCCTGGGAGGGGCTTACCCGACCCCGGCTCGCCACCCGGCACTCCCGATTCCCTTTTATTGTGCATTATTTCCCTCCTTTGCACTTCCCACATTTCAAATACTGTTTACTTCCTTTCATTATGCACTCTGGACGTTGTTCTCCGTGAGGGCTGGCTGAGACCTTTGCCCTGCTTAGCTCGCCGACGTAGCCGAAGAACAGTGCCGGCACACAGTAGGTGCTCAATAACTCTTGGCTGACTTGATGACTGCCCGAGCGATGAGAACACACGGAGCATCCCTGTTGTATCAAGTGCGCAGAGCAGGAGGGGACGCCCTTGAGTAAGGAACTGCAGCCTGTTGACGCTGCAGTTGTGGGCGCCCATGGCGGTGACCTGCTCAGGCAGCGTCCGCGTCGGGATATTTTCATACATAGCGCTATACGTCTTGTGATGATTGTTTGAAAAATGCAAGAGCAACCTCGAAGGTTGCTCCCTGTCAGTATAGTCTTAACTGGCAGATTATGGGCGTGTTATAAATTATTTAACCATTTTCCTGCTAATAGATATTTAGGCTGTTTCCAAGTTACGAAAGTCTGCAAAAAGAAGTTTTGAACGTGTCCTCCAAGCTCATACGTGAAATCAGTATTTCTCTCCATGGATACGTAGAAATGCGTCTGTATGTGTTTTACGTAAGCCAAATTGCTCTCCAAAAAGCCTGTGTTATGGCGCGAACGATTCTGAGACTCATGGAGCCAATTGAGATTAATTATGAACCTTTATTAGCTGCCGGTGACTGACTCTCTACCACGCAGGGCTAGATGAGATCAGCCCCGAGCTTTCAGAGGAGGCAGCTGCTAAAGCTTAAGGCCATATCCTGGTGGTCTCCGGAACAAGCCAGCAGATTACAGAAGCGCAAGTTGGCTGTTAGCATATCTTTGCCTGGAACAACACCCTTAATTAACAAGTAAATGGATTACAGAAGCAGACGTTGGCCTTCTTCACATCTTATACAATACACCTGCTAAACCACATCCAAGCAAGTAGGACAACTTCTGGTATCTAAAGATATTTCTTCCCTGTAGTTGACTTAGCTAGTTGGCTCACTTGAAAATTTTCCACCCTTGACACCTGGCTAATGACAGCCTCATCCATTTCAGCTCACCCACTACGAATAATGGTCAGTCAATCCCACCCTTCCCAGTCCCGCGGCAAAGAAGTGTCCGGTGTTTTGTTTCTGCGTCGGCGCGGCGTCTGCTGCTGGGAGCAGGCGCAGAAGGGGAGACGCGCGGCGGTCTCGGTGGGGGTTCTGGGCCTCCCCGCGCCTGCGCCCCCCACCTCGGGCTAGCGCCGCTCGCCGCGAGCTGGCTCGTCCGTGTTCTGGCAGAAAAAGCCGAGAGGCAGTCGGGGCCAGCAAGTGGAAAGTCAGACAGGGCCGTGGAGTT